ATAATAAGTTATGAAAATGAACGTCTCTGTTTTTATAACCAAGCGTTCGTAAAAAAATGAAAAAAATAATATATATTTATAAAGTGTTACTTTTTACCACACTGTCTAATACACACACAAAATTCAGTTTTTTACTATTTGGAGTATTTATTATTAATCAATGTAAACAGTAGTAAACATGTAGTTTGAATACTGGGATCATATTAATTGGTCCTTTTTAACAAACAATATTTAAACAGTTTTTTTTTTTATTTTTTAATGAAATAAGCGAACTATATCGACAATAGTAGTATCTGTACTCTTTGAAAATTTGTTACACCTTTAAAAATAATCTAAAATGTCAATATTTCATGGGTATACTGATAAATGAGGTCTAAATTATAAGAAAATGCATTTTCTACGAAAACTTGAAGAAATGGGTAAAAAATGGTATAATACAATTTGATAGACAATTACATTGTGCATCTGATTCACGTAAAATATATGGGGTGTTCTATTTAAATTAAACAAGTTATTGCCGTTTAAAGCTAGTAATTATTTAATATAAATTTTTGGACACTCTGTATAAGGTAGTAAAATTTTTATTATTGCAACACAATATCTGATCAATAAATAATCTCCAGTAAATATTTAGTATTAAAAACTTTGATACTCTTGGAGAAATGAAGCCTTAAAATTTTTACTGCAATTTCATAAAATTGAAAATATTTCAAAAACGGTAAGGTTTAAGTGTGATAAACCTTAATCAAATTTACCTTTATTTCAATCGTAGAATCTAAAAAATAGAATAATATACAGGGTGTTCCATTTAAAACTACAACTATAATATTTTTAACTTATTTGGGACACTCTGTATCTTGTAAAAATATTTTTAAATTGTAGCTCTAATAGTCCTTCAAGGAACCAAGAACTTACAATTTGTAAAAATCTAATCGTTTAGCTACAATACTCCGTGTCGTATGTGGTGAACAACCCTGTATAAAATAGCTCTAAAAGCCTAAAAGGCTCATGGCTTGATTGGTTATCTTTCTCCATTTGTTTCTGTTGTGACGATTTTTCTGTCGTTACCCAAATAGAATGAACAAAGAATCCGTTGCTCAGGGTTAGAGGAAAGCTGCGTTCGTAGGTAAGGCTTCTGACTCACAGTGACTTTCTAATGTTGTTAAAAAATAAAAAAATGATAATATATAGGCTGCAGAGATTTTAATATTGATGTTAAGAATTCAAATAGGTATGGTCAAAGACAGTGAAAAGGGCGCCACTTACTTTGTTTATGAGAGTGGTAAAGTAAGAAATCAAAAAGAAAAATACGATATCACAACAGTAATCAACAGCATTAAGGGTCTATTATGTTTATCAGGAATAAAAGTCAGAAATATATAACTATCCTACATTAAACATTTATTGAAAACGAACACAAGTATCATCAATTAGTCACAGTGATCCCAATAAAACCGCAAGTTATTTTAAATAGATTTGAATTTAGTAACTGTATTCTTTGAACTAAGTAAGCTTCTTAATAAAAACAGGTGAAATTTATGTATGTCTCAATACGATGATGTTTCGAAACATGTCGTGTACAAAAACCTTTAAAATGAATACATGTTAATAATTTTCATATAAAATATCATAGCTAAGTAAGAGTATACTGTACGAATCAAATTATAACTTATAACGTTAAATAAAAAATAATTTTGACTACAATATGTGGGATAAATAGTGATAATTTACCAGGTTATTAAATCTGTTGTCTCAAAAATTATAAAATAAAAGCGTACCTTGTGTATCAAACAAAACTACAAAATAGTTGTAGACTTATCTCTATATAGTTTCTTATGATGTAAACAGGTAGGTAGGTATTCTCCAGACTAACAGAAGTGGATGCAGATGACTATGGCAGGAGAAGTCTTCGATATCAGCCAAAAGAACGATTGTAATGTCAGGAACACTGTCTTAAGGTCAGCATAGGTCCATACAAAATGCAAGTGGGTGAAACATACAATAATTACTGCATTATTACTGCATACCATGTGGTAATTACTGACTACCATGTGGTAGTTACTGAGTATCATGTGGTAGTTACTGAGTACCATGTGGTAGTTACTGAGTACCATGTGGTAGTTACTCTATAAATAAAAAATAGTTCTCAGGACAGATACTCAATAAAAAAAACAACTTACGGTCTGAAAATCAGCTTTACATAAATATATTCAAACCATATGCCGATCCAAACCAGTAATTAAATACTCAAATAAACGAAATAAAAACGGAAATAACTGAAATAGAATTTAGTTAGATAGGGCTATATAAAATGGCGGATAAACTTACGATCATTCCAAGAAGAAACCAAACAAATACGATCTATACTCTGAATTGCATACTTTACAAGGTTTTCAAATCTCCAAATCGGACACCCATGCTATGGAAATCGAAAAGTGGATTCAGAGTGCTTTTCACTGGAAAATTTGTCGGACGCCGACACACGCGTCTTCTTCAGATCCAAATTCCCAGAAAGAAAGAAAAAAGACCTTCTTCTCAGTTCTCAGTTTCAGAACCCAACTGTCATAAATGAAGTTTGATATCTAGCGAATAGATGCGCTAATAAAAATTAAATATCGAAACAAGTGAGCTGTAACAAATGGAGTTTGGCATCTTTGGCATCTAGCAAATAGATGGCGCCAATACTAAGAAATTTAAATAAAAATAGATTTTTAAATTCAATTTTATTAAAGGGAATAAAAAATGCTACACTGTCTTTCGCCTTTATTCTCCACCCATCCACTCTTATCCTTCTCAAGTCCTCTTTCCACCTATTTCACGTTTCATTATCATATTAGGAATTCTTGCTTCGGCCATTCGTTCAATATGTCCCAGCTATCTCAGTCTTTGTGCTCTTGCTACTCCCGTTATACTCGGTGCCCGATATAGTCTAGTATAATCTACCTCAGTATTTTTCTTTCCCAAATCTCTAGCCTCGAACTTTCTGTTGCAGTTAACGTCCACGTTTCACATGCATACAGCACTATTGGTCTTATCATTGTTTGGTACATTCTGATTTTTAAATTTCTAGAAATGTTCTTACTCTTAATAATTTTCTGTAATGCGCTGACACATCTATTTCCTGCCATTATTCTTGCCATAATTTCTTGAAGTCTGAGAGAGGTAAACGATACAAGTTTGAGGAAGTAGATACATTCACAGATCTGGGAGCAGTATTTCTAAGGAATCCAAATGTAACTCAAGAAATTGGTATATACTTTTCTTAAATGTCTGTCCTGTTCTGGAAACTTTCTTTTCCTTCCTCTTCCAGGACGTCCCTCGTTTTTAAAAAAAGCTTCTGGCTCGCTGTCTGCATTTTCTTCTGACGATTCTGCGTTGGAATCAGGCTGGTAAGTTTGATCCCTTATGGAGTCATCAGTTCCTCAAAGTCTCTATTACATCTATCCATTTTCCTTAGTTCTGTTCTTGGCTCATTATAGTTGATACCATTCTTCCCTTCAACACTTTGTTCCTCTTCCAAACATAAGGGAGTGAGTACTAGTTGAAGGAAGTGCCGTCATGTTTCGTCTTGTATTTACAATGCCGTGGATAAAAAAATACCGGTCTTGGGTATCTTTGTAGATCTGTCAAAAGCTTTTGATACGGTGAGTCATGAGATATTACTAGAAAAATTAGAGAATTGCGGACTTCGAGGTAATGTGTCAAAACTAATAAAAAGCTACTTAACTGGTAGAATGCAGGTAGTTAAGATTGGTGAGTATAAGAGTAATTACGAACGGATCTCTGTGGGTTACCGCAAGGAATTCGTGCTGGGACCTCTTCTGTTCACGCTTTACTTATAAATAATTTACTACTTAAACATTGATAGTCCTGGACAAATTATTAGCTTTGCAGATGATACAACAATTCTTTATTCTGCAAATACTTGGGCGGAATTAAAAACTATAGCAGAAAGAGATTTTTAGAAATAAAAAAGTGGTTCCAATACAATAAATTAACGCTAAATGTGAAAAAAACCAATGCATCTCATTTACTTCGTATGCCAATAATCTTGCACATATGGGTTTCTCTTATAATAGATAAAGAAACAACTATTCCAGAAGAACAATGTATTTCTTATTTGGGTATTATGTTTGATAGTCATCTGCGTTGGAACAACCACATAACAACACTAGTAAATAAATTGCGTAGACTCAGTGGGCACATTTAAATATTTACGCGAATATCTAGACGAAAGACATCTCATAACAATATACTATGCACTATTTCAATCACAAATTTGTTATGGAATAACTGGGTGGGGAGGCGTAGCTGATAAATATCTAAAAAATTAACTGTTTTACAAAGGTGGATATTAAAAGGCGTTGCTTAAAGTACAATTACGATTTTAAGCTTCTAGAACCGTCACTATATTATACTAAAAGCCCTTACTGTATCCATCTGATAGATTATTTTTTTCCTAGTAATGTTCTCGATATTCGCAAATTACATTTTTTAAAATTAGTTATTTTGATACAGAGAGGAGGTTTAAAAAAACAGAACTATCACATCAATATGACACCAGAAAAAAGTCGGAAAATCTACTAACACTAAGATGTAAGAAAGTAATTGGACAAAAAGGCTCGGAGTATCTATAGAGGTGGCAACGCTGGCGCGCAGTGAATAAGTATTAATGTTGTAATCGCGGAGAAATTTTTTGAGTTTTTTGTGGTTCCTAGCTAGAATAAATTAAATACAGTGTTACAAGTAGTTGACAAAGTAAGTCTTTAGTCTTTAAATAAAGAAGTGCCATAATTAGAACGGCTAATCATCTTTAAAAAGGCAAATTTGTTAGAAAACGCCCCGCCGTGGTCAATAACTTTGGACTTTGAACCATCACATAAATCGATTAACAATTATTATTTGACCTAGTTTTGGACAAGTACAGTGGACGTCGTTGCCAATTGCAATATTTTTTTTTTGAGTAACAGATATTATAATATATAATATACACCGTAAGAATGGTAGATACGCTCATATTCAAACAATTTCAAGAAATCAAATCTTTAATACAGAACAGCAAAAAAGAATTAAAAGAAGACATTAAAACGGTGAGAGAGGATTTGTCAATTCAAACGGAAGTTCTAAAGGAGAGTATTACTGTAATACAAAGTAAATTAAACGATATAGAATTTCAGGGTACAAGCACTAGAAAAATTAGCTAGAAGAACAATTTGATAATATTTGGGCTACGGGACCACAGAAACCTAAAGGACTTTGAATTAGCTACTTGGGTAACCGAGCAACTAAGAAATCTGTTAGAAGTAGATATAAATATAAGCGATATAAACAATTTATACTACTTAGGAAACGACTCAACGAAACCGCTACGTATAGAACTCAATTCATATTTAAAAAGGCATTGATTCTTCGAAGCGCCTATAAGCTGAAGGGAAAGAACATCTTTTTCTTTTTTTCTTTTTTTGTAACTTCTTCAGTGGAATCATTATTTTCTTCATCAAATTTTGTTCCCCATCATCGTCAATTTGATATGTAAGGGTCATTGTTTTCATTATCTACTTCACCATTTATTAACCACGATCTTTCCAAGAAAGAGAGAGTGGTGAACAAGGTACTCAAACAAAATTTGAAAGAGGCAAAGGAAAAGGGTTTAAGGGCGTACATTAAATGGATACTCTTGTAATTGGCAGCGAAACTTATAATTACGAACAATTGGTGGAGAGAGAAATAAAGGTAACGAATCTGATTGCAGAAGTTCTTTACCGATATTCCATCTAGACCATCCCTTTGTGCTCAAGGACACCCGTCAACGAACAACCTGTACAACCTATAGAGCGTCACAAGCAAGAAACTCACTTATCCGGATCCAAAAGCTACCGACCAGTACTATTGAATTTTCCCATTAATCCGGGAGCATCGACTACGCAAACTCGCAGGGGTTCGGCTGGCCTTATAACCGCATCCCTACCTTCAACTAATAAGGGAAGACCAGCAACAAGAAGTTACTCGAAGCCGGTATAGAAATGAAGATGTCGTCAAGTGTAAAGAGACATTTTTTTTTAAACATGAATTTTTACACTGAGGGCTTTTAACAGGGACTTTTTCACGTGAGTGAATTATTTATATACATTGGCTGGCGCTCTGGTTTGTGCGCGGCTACAATTTCCTTGTAATTTTAGTCTAGGGAGATATAAGCATATATCGCGACTTGCTTACTCTGCACTTTTGGGACTTTTTAAATAATTAAAATATAGTATATGTTTAAATTTAATTTGGTGTTGGGCTAAAATAAATAGACTATTAATATTTAAATATATAGTAAATACATGGACGTTTATAAACCAATATAGATTATTTGTTTCTTTACATTAAATGTATTAATCCAGTATATTGTAAAACAAAAAATATATATTTTATCTTTTATTCTCTTTTGAAAAATTAGGTGTTTCCGATATGGGTCAGATTGCAAGTTAAATATTTAAAAGCTTAACATATAAGATAACAATGAATTCATATATTAAGGACTTTGAAACAAAGGTTGATTGAGGCAGATGTGGTGGATGACATTAATATATATGTAAATTTGACATTGAATTATCATCATTTAAACTTTTTCTTTTCATAATAATATTCGTAGCATAGATCACAATTTTGATGAGCTTCTTGTTCTTTTACGTGGAATAGATTTTGAATTTGATTGTATATTACTTACTGGAAGTTTTAAAATTTGGAATATTGATTACCGGGATACCGGGATACAACATTATATATAATGAAGGAAGTCTAAATAAAAATGATGGAGTAGTAGTGCTTATAAAATGTTCGTTAAATTATTCCTATAAAATACTAGATATAGGAGATAAGACCGCTGTGGAATAACTTGTTTTTTAGCGTGCTTAAGTGTTGGACAATGAAATATATTAATTTGATACATTTAGATACAGTTAAGAATTTAGTATAAAATATTGTAGTTATTGTTGTAGAAATAAAACTCCTCAGACAAGGTTCTACCTTAAGAGGATATTATGTTTATTCACTATATATTTTGTATTCGTAAGTTATGTATATGTCTTGTATATACTTTGTAATTGGATCAGTTTGAATAAACATTATTTATTATTATTATTTATTATTATCTTGCGCCGAAGTATTATTCGAAATTACCTGTTGAGATAAGAACTCTAAAGAACTTAAAACAATTTAAATTTTTAACAAAGAAATGGCTACTGGATTTAGATTCATATCAAATCGGAATTGTGACTTGTTAAATCAGGACATAAATGGTTGTGTCATTCTCTCCAATCAGGCAGAGCAAATACGGGTAATAATAATAAAAAAAAACTACTGTTTTATTTTCTATTTTTTATATGTATGTTGATGTATTTGGTATTCAGGAGGTTTTATTGTGGAAGTATTTTTTACATATTACAGGTTTGTTGAATTTTAGAGTGTATTTATAATTTAAGTGTTTTCTAAAATTATAGTTGTAAATCTATGCCTCGCACAAAAAATGTTTCATTTTTTCTGAGGTAAATTTATGTTTATTGTATGTTTATTTATTGTAACATTGTAATTTAATAGGTATATAAATAAACATTATTATTATTATTATTATGTCAGTTGGGGGCTCAAAGAAATCTTCTTTCTACAGTAAGGAATTTATTTACATTTCAGATAGACAAAAAACTGCGATAGATTAAAAATGGAGTTTGGGAATATTAAAAGTAAACCTACCTGGTTAGTATGAATACCTGAAAATTCTGGATTTGATAATGAATCAGTCAGACTGCGTCAGCGAAACTGACAAGTGAGAACTCGCCTTAGGTATTTCAGTTTCAGTCATTCGGTCTATTCAGTCATTAAACTTTTACGTTGTTACGTACCTAGGTTCTTTTTACTCTTCAAAATGGATTTTTTCTCGCTATGGTTTTATAGAAAAAGAACCGGATGATAGATATTAGAAGTATGTTCTGAACATAATACAGTTCTGAAAATGTTTGAGAATAGGGACAAAGAAGGTGCTTACAAACTGTTAGTGTTAAAGCATCTTTAGGATATAATGATACAAAGTTCAAAGAATTTTTCCGTTTAACTCCACAACTATTCCATACTGCATTAAATTTAACCATCAATCTTTTCCAGTTTGTTAACACTATTTTCTATTTGTGACATGGTGGATGGACGTTTCATGGCACTTCTTTGTTTTGGTGTTCTAGAATATTGTGGTGTTCAAATGGAAGCAGTGGGTAATTGGTTTTCGACTCCAACGCTATTCAGGCTATTTTCCTGTGCAACATCTGAATGCGGCTGAAGGCTTGAATTACTATCGTCAGGTGTCAGTGAAAAAAAAGATATTCTAAGGTTGCAAAGCACTTACTAGATCAATATTAAAAATTATATTTTTGTGTAACAAAAATGGTAACAATTACATAAAATATCTACTTTTTTTGCAGGTATCAGAAACGGAACAAGAGTGGCGGAGTATCCAGTGAGAATTCTATACCCGCTGGAATTTTCCCAATTGTTTGGGAGCGATCGATGGTAAAAACGTAATAATACGCTGTCCACCAAAAACTGGCTCTGAATATTTCAATTACAAACATTCCTTCAGCATTATCTTGATGGCAGTCGTAGATGCAAATTATTGTTTGTCGTACATAGATGTTGGTACCAATGGTCGTGTTAATGATGCTAGAGTATTCTCGAAATCGTCTTTCTATGAGGCTATGGAACAAAATATTCTTCATTTACCCTCAAATGGAGTATTTGTAGCAGATGATGCGTTTCCATTAAGAACCAACATTTTAAAACCCTACAGTAGATCTGGACCAATAACAGAATGTCAACAAATATTCAATTATCGCTTATCAAGAGCACGACGAATCGTTGAAAATGCCTTTGGTATACTAACTTCCAGATTTAGAATATTCGAGAAACCGATTCCGCTAGCTACAAGTACCATTATTAAAGGTCATAAAGACTACAGGTGCACTTCATAATTGGCTGAGAAAAACTACAGATCACTATATTACACCTGGAAACGTTGATACCGAGGATATAACTGTAGGCCGTGTTACCAAAGGCTCATGGCGTGATGCTCAGATTCACGGAATAGCACCTTTAAGTAATATTTATTCCAGTAATAATCACAGCTATGCAGCAAAAGCAGTTCGAGATGCATATGCAGAAAAATTTACTGAACTACTGAAGCAGTGCCTTGGCAATTAAAAATGACTGGCAAAAACAACACATGAGAAAAATGTGTTACAACAAATAATAAATTGTACTTATTTCTATCAAATAAATAAACAAACCTATTTACCAAATTAGATGTACTTTCACTTGCCTCACATACCCCTCTCAAAAATGCATCGGCCTTATTAAACCAAAATAAACGTGGTTTGGTTACTTTTTCCAGATTTTAATATCTTCGTTAATTCATTTTTGTAATTTGTTCAGCGTTTTGATCTTGTTTTTAACATCAGCGACCGTTAACTCTGGTGTTTGCATGTCGTTGGACATAGGCATTCTCTCGTTCTACCCTATTTTTGTATAAAGCGGCCCTCACACGATCAATAATATTGTCAATGTTTTTTATTGTCAATATTTTATCAATATTTGAAAGGTGACATGACACGGTCAATACACATATCAATATTTATATTTTACGTTTTGTGTCGATATTAAGTGTTAATATCGTGCCAACAAATGAACCATAAGAAAAAAGCATGTATTGCCATCATTTTGGCACATGTAAGTGAGAAAAAAGTTAAGAAAAGGCGTTGGATAAAAAAATGGATTTCAAAAAGAAAAAAGTTTGGTCACCTAAATCTTCTAGACTACGTTAAGAAACAGGAGCCTGATGATTATAAAAATTACTTCAGAATGAATGGCGAAATATATGATCTATTGCTTCATTTGGTCAGTCCTTATATTACCAAAGAAAACACGAATATGCGGGAAGCTATACCAGCAACTGAAAGATTTGCCGTCACACTTAGATTTTTGGCAACAGGAAGATCCTTTGAGGACTTAAAATTTTCAACAATAATTTCACCAACAACCATTAGTGAAATAGTTATGGATACTTGTGAAGCCATAATTCGAGTTTTAAAGGACTACATCAAGGTTAGTAAGTTTAAAATACAATAATTTGTAACTTTTTATTAGGTATGTGCGTAGTAAGTAACATGTTCTGGCAGTACTAGATATTCTTCATGTTCTTGCTGTGTGAGTGGTGACTGCAGTGGGTTGAAACATAATTTGTAGCATAAAATTTCCCACGGTCAATGGATGATGTCCAACTATCGGCTGATAGTGGTCGTGAACCAGTTGCTTCAGCCGCCACGTTAATTTTTACTGAGTGACGATTTAGATTTCCTAGCGCTGCTTCAAAAAATATCATTGATTGCTTTTTTCAGCAAATAACCTTTGTTGGGGTGCTAAAGCTTTTAGTTTGTTTGCCCAGACTTTAGCAATCTGACTTTCCTCTACATACTTTTCGTCCTCCGAAAGGTATTTGCATGCTAGTGCCAACAACTGTTTGTTGTCTGGTGTTTTTGCCTGGGTTTTTGTTCTTTTTGATGTATGTAGATCTTCAGATGTAACCTGAAAAACAATAATATATTTTTTTACAGCTTCCAAGAACTCAAGATGAATGGAGAAATGTCGCATTAGAATTTGGTAGAAAATGGCAGTTTTGGAATTGCATTGGCGCTGTTGACGGAAAACACATTAATATTGTGAAACCAGCAAATTCCGGTTCTCGTTACTTTAATTACAAAGGATACTTTAGTATAGTGCTGATGGCTATAGTCAACGCTAATTACGAATTTATGTTGGTAGACTGCGGAACAAACGGAAGAGTTTCGGATGGTGGAGCTATTCACAATACAACATTTTGGGAATTGTTTCAAAATAATTTGTTAGACATTTCAGAACCTTCAAGTATACCACATACTAACACCAAATACCCTTACGTTTTTCTAGGAGATGATGCTTTTCAAATGGGTAATAATTTCCTGAAACCATATAATCGTGAACATGCAACACGAACCGACCGCATATTTAATTACCGACTCTCTAGAGCCCGGAGAGTTGTAGAGAATGCATTTGGTATACTTGTAACAAGATTTGGAATATTTCAAAAACCCATAAAATTGTCCCCGGAGAAAGTCGCGACTATTACAATAGCTTGTTGCTATTTACATAATTTTTTAATGCGAAAAGGATCTGTTGATTATTATAAAAATACTTTAATATCTGAGAATATAACCACTGGGCAATGTGACACAGGATGTGACAGAACGGAATTTACACTAACAGGACTTAAACATGGATTATTTAGAAACCCTACTAACAGAGCAAAGGAAATCAGAGATCTCTATCGAAATTATTTTAATCAAGAAGGACAAGTAGATTGGCAAAATACTGTTATATAGATATTATATTATACTTTATTTTGAGGATTATTTCAACTATTTTTGTCGCAGTATTCGCATTTATAAAGCGTTAGGTATAAGAATAGATATAATCCTTTTTAAAATAAAATAAAAACTATTAATAGGTACTTACCTCTATTGTTTCATTTATGGTTGATCTCGTTTTATCTGGCTTTTCTACATCTTTCAAAAATTGAAGTTCCAAAACAACAACCAAGACGAAGGTTCATATATGTCTGCACTTGCACTCCCTGTGCGTTGAGAGTCTTTATTTTTTTAGTTCTTTTCGGAAATTTGTTCTTAACGAATTGATTTTTTTTTTTCACATCTTCTATTCCCGCATTTTTTTTATTTTTTATAAATGTTTAATAATTTTTTATAACCTTCTTTTTTCTTGTCGCGGTTGGAGTAGTCGTTTGACGAAATATCCCATAGTTCTGGCATTTCACGATAACTATCTATAAAAATTTGTAATATTTCTCGTTCACTTTTGTTTCAATCTCAGATTCATCTTCCGAAAACAACGACGGCGATGTTCTGTCTTCCGCCGTGGTTACAAATAAGCCATAGATTAAATAAACTAGTCAAATCTTGTCAATCATGCGACCTAACGGTCAATATATTGTCAATAATACTAGCTCCGCCTTTAATATTGACGAGTATTTTCAGGGACCCGAAAATCCATCAATATATTGAAAGTACATCAATATCTACGCTCAAACACTCAATAATCCAAAATATTGACAATATTATTGATCGTGTGAGGGCCGCTTAAGTCGTTGGTGATATTTTTAAGGCACTCACACATATTTTCTATCATTATCCAAAAATGCATACATGTGTTCATCACGCCACCCGCTGGGGTATTAGCATGAAAAAGGTGATCGAAATTCGAAAAAGCAAATGTGTTTAAGATTTCCCAAAAAAAGATAAATGATAAGTTAAATCATCTCTGCCATGAATGGCGTTGCTATGGGTGTGTTTAGTTGCATTCATTTGTTTCAACGAAACGTCAAAGTTGTTACTTCTCACAGATTAGAGGTAAATGGCTAAATTTTATGTTTAAAATTATAAATTGTTGTTGTTCTTGTGCTCTTTTTAACTGAAAGTTAGGCGTTCAAAAAATTTGATTAAATTTGTGACATTTTTATTATACTTAGAGATTTAGTTGCGCATTTCGAAGAATTCAGCATATTGTCTATATACGTTTTACTTAGTAAACATTGGGCTTTCATACAGTAAAATAAAATACTGCGACTTATTGCGATTTTGCTGATAAAATGAGAAAAACATTCTTGGTTTCCTCTAATTTGCCAATCAGTGATATACTAATGCGAGGTGTAAACCGCGATGGCATTGTTGTGTACAAAGCGATCGCATTAGTGCCATTAGCAGTATAGCACAATTTGGCATTAGTAGCGACTTTAGTGGTATGGGCATTGCTCGCGGATCAGTCGTAGCATTAGTAGTAGTAGTTGCGATATTACTACTGGCACTGACCGTGGAAACACTGGAACAGTGATTTTTCTTTCTTTTTTTAGAATCGACGAATTATCCTTTATTTTGTTCATATTATTTCCTCTTTAATTGAAAATAGCAATAATTTATATAAGGTCTACATAAAAAAATTTCGATCAAGTATCAGTGTCAAATACCCCACTGTGCGCCATCGGAAAACCATTTTGAATAACGATGTGCGATGTGTTAACGCGAATTATTAATCTAACCTCAAAACTCGTAAACTGAACAAATCACGAAAATGTAGTTCTCACGCTTCAGTTTCTATTCATTATTCGATAATGATCAGTCAAAAATGAAAAAAGTAGAACTGGTTTTCACTTTAACTGAATGTACGAATGTACTGATCATTTAACATGAAAATGTGTTCTGACGTTCATTATTTGTTCAGTTTCACTGAATCATTTGGACTTCTCCCGTGAGAACCCGCCTTAATCGCAACGAATTTAATCTCCGACAAACCACACGCAGACAAAACTTCGGAACGAACTGAGGTCGGCAAGTTAGAGCGTTCTGTACGGAAATATTTATCGAAATATTTCGGGCCGATCTGGTCAGAAAAAACAGGCCTTAACGCAACATGCGATAATCGATGTCAAATGTTTCTCCAGAAAGATTTTATCGAAATATTTTACATTTGGAATACTAAACTCTTTCGCTTGTGTCTTCGAGCTTTCTCTTGGTTGTGCCTTTTCGAAGATCTTTTGTTTCATTTTTCATCTCCTATCTCGGGATGTTGGAGCTTAGTCGAAGAGGAGTTTGGGTGGTAAGAGTTAGCGTTAATAGGGGAGTAGTTAACTTATTCCCTGGAAGGTGACTTTTACAGTACTGGGGGCGGACTGGAGCATGACACTTAAAAAAATATGTTAGTTAAATATGCTATAAGTCTAAGTATGCCTCAACATAAAGTTGATGAGATTTCCTAGGTTCCATCGAAACCAGTGTCTCAATCGAAGTACTGGGGTGTATCGCTTGTCAGCCAAATTAACTTTCTGTCGTTCTAGGGAGGAAATTCAGTATTTTTCAATTCTTATTGTTAACAGTTAGGTAAGAAGTAAATAAGTAAATAATATATTCTATTCTTTTATTCATATTTCATGGAACATATACAATAACTTAATCTAAATACGTGAGAAAGCTGGATTCTCGAGTTGTTGTTGAGTAATGCTAGTCTGATGATGAAGTCTGCGCATATGACTTATGTTTGATGATAAAGTCTGCGCATATGACCCTGCTCGAGAGGCATACGAAGACGGTACGCAGCAATTTTTGATGGTTCTTAATTTTGAGGATTTCGTTTAATAATAGATCTTGCACAGCGCTACGGAAGACACAGTCACATATTTCAGAAACCCCATAAGTACCGATCCCCAATTAAACCGCACTAAATACTAACACTCTGACGTCCTTGAAATTGGATTTCCTGGATATTAAACGGATTTGCATCAGACCAATGATGAGTATTTCGACGATGGCAGCCCCTACTGGTAGAAAAATTGGACTCGTCTGTCCACAATATGGAATTTAAAAAGTTAGGGTTTCTTTTTATTTCTTCCATCATAGATCTACAAAAACGCAACCTTTCTTCTTTTTGTCTAGCCGTTAATTTTTGCACTCTTGTAGGGTTATAAGGATGAAACTTATGTTTTTTTCAAGATATTTTGTAATAAACCATACGATATAGGAAACTCGTAGTATATCGGGTATAGATTTGTATGGAAATGCCCGAAAATAGACCAACGCGTTAGTTTCCATTTCTTCCGTTATTTTCCGCTTAACTACTGCTTTCTTCTTTACAATTCCAGTCTCGAAAAATGTCTTCTTCAATCGATAAAATATTTTCCTGGAAGGAACCTGTCTATTGGGAAACTGGAGTCTATACCTCCTAAGTGCTTGGGTTGCACTGCCGCGCCGGTTTGACGAAAAATATCAAACAAAAAACACTTTTCCTCAACTGAATAATAATATCTCATTATGTTGGTTTTTACGAAGAAAATTTACCTCACAATTATTCGAAACAAATAATAACAATGACAATGACAGAATGAGAAATAATTGAAGAAAAAATCAATAGTAACCATTGCATATGCATAGCTATCTTAACTCTTTTAATTAATTGTTTTTGTTGAGAATTCAAAAATCCGTGGAATATTTAAAGGTGTTTATTCATCGTACAAATACAGAAAAGAAATCGAGACTACTTAAAACAAAATATCCTATGCTAAATAAGTAACCAGACCCGTAAGGTCGTTGATATGATGTTTCATACGTATATAACGCTTCAGAGAGATGTTTTTGTTTATAAAATCTGCCGCTGATAAAATATCCAGCTTATTGATAAACCACATATTTTTAAATTCAAATACAATAATAAAACTCATTATTTTAACAGTTTTTACATGCTTTTGTCGATCTTGAAAGAAATTAAGAAGAATGCACAAGTGTGATACATTTTTGAATTTGGAGAAAAGGGGACTATCTAATGCGCTACTAATATACAGGGTGTCCCATTTAAAAAGTTTTTTTTTAGTTTTAAAAATCTGACATGTGACACCTACTGTCATTTTTGACAACATTCGCAAAAACTTGGCTGAAACTGCTACAACATGTTTTTTGAATGACTGTTTTAACCCAACAAACAAAAAAGTTATAAGCTTTTAAAAGTGGGTCAAACTAAAATGATAACCCTGTACACCAGAACCGTACTTTTCAGGAACGACAAAAAAAATTTAGCAATTTTTTATCTTTATTGCAATTCTGAAGATGTGTTAATTTTGGAAAAATGTTTTTTAATCAATTTGTATCAACAGTTAGTCAAAAAATAAACATTGGTGATGTTATAAACAAATATTAATGCTATAATTACGGGGTTACTGACTTACATGGTAAATTGCATTAAGTTTTCTGGTAAAAATGAAGTAAAACAACCTGTATTAACATTTTTATTCGTGTAATATGCAAGTACAATATAAACATTTGTTATTTGATGTGTACTACTAGTCGAGAATATCTTCTGGATCATCCTTATTTACCTCTGGCCTAAATATTGCATGATAAAAGCACTGGACATGGATACTGTCTAGCATATACGGTTTTAATTTCACAATATCCCTCATTTTTTAACATTAAGAGGTATACGTCCTCCTGGGTAAGCCGCGGCAGTCAGCAGAGTGGATGGTAGGTGTGTTGATTTTAATTGAAACTCATAGCTTCCTGAGTCAATAAAATAGTGCGCTTTAACGTACCCTGGTGTGTTTGAATTATGCGAAAAATGCATAAACGAGGATATGGTAAAGTTCTGCTTCTTTCCTTTAGGGACTCTCGTATGACCATGCGAATCAGTTGACAAACATTTTTTTTTATAATACTGCGGCCACCATGACTTGTAATCGATTATCATAGAAGTATCTATTACACATACGGAGAACTTTTGCTTATTAGGTACTTGCATTTGCCACAATCTCAATATAATCCATGACGGT